CAAAACCCATCACCAAGCTCACAAAGCCACTGGTGGGCCTTTGAAAAATATGGCGCTCTTCACCCTTCAGAGACTCTCAGTTCAGCCCCTGACCCAAGAGGAGTTTGATTTTATTTTGAGCCTGGAGGAAAAGGAATCAAGTTAACTGAAATACTTGCTGGAATGGGCAAGACATTACACCAAAGAAAGTAAGCTGGTATAAGACAACAGGTGTGAGGAGGCTTGCTTATGTCCATCCGAGGTTGTGTACATAGGTGTGCTTTGTGTACTTTTCTCAATAAAATGCGAACATAAAATTGGAAAAATAAAAAGTAAAAAAATCAATAAAAACATATTTTAAAATAAATAAATAACAGCAAAAACCTATTCTGACCTGGGATTTGAAGACAATTAGAAAATCAGCCATAGGAAGATTTTACTAGAAATCTAACTTGTTAGAGAATTTCATTAGTTATTATGCATGTATTAAATGTGTTGCTTTTTTATATTACTTTTTATTTTCAAATAAAAAACAAAAATTCTCAAAAGGATTCTTCCATAAACTTCCACCTAGTACCTTCTAGAAACTTCCTACTAAGAAATAATTTTGCACTTTAATTTTTGGAACTTATACATTTCTGAAAATATTCATTCACCGACTTTTATTAAAATATTGTAACTTTTCCATCTGTTACCCTGTTTATAATTATTATTATATTTAATTTTAGGCATTACTGTAAAAGTTAAATCTACCCTTTCTTAAGTGTAATTTTTTTGTTTCTTTTTTTATTTATTTATTTTTGTTACAGATGTTTCTCCTTTTCCCCCCACTGATTCCCCCTCCCCTCCCTGCCCTGTCCCCAGCTTTGTTGTCCATGTCCATTGTTCATGCATACATGCATATAAATTCTGTGGTTTATCTCTCCCCCACCACCCCCTGTTCTGGGGATTGTCAATCTGTACCCATTTCCATATCTCTGGGACTACCACATTCCTCAGACTGTTATGTTCATTCATTTAAATATAATTTTAAAAAGAGAATTCTAAGCAGCCAAATAAATTAGGGATTTCTTTATATTTTGGGGGAATATCTCTCACCAAAACCAGGTTTGTTTGTTTTTTGTTTTTGTTTTTTTTTTAAATACTTAATTCTAGAGATTTTATCTTGAAACTCAAAAATTTACAAATTGTCAAGGAAAGATATAGAGACAAAAAAGACCGGAAAAGGAAAAGTAAGAATTAAGTTTGCAAGCAAACTTGCTGAAGGTACAAAAGAGTCATACTTCAGGACTGGATGGCCAACTAAGAAAACATAGCAAGTATTTAAACAGAAAAAACACACAAAATTACTAAAGTTGCTAAATTTACATTAGACTATTCATAACAAGAAAACAGCAACTTGATCATAATCATTGTATTCAAAAAAATTATGACAGATCTTCAAGTAGATGTGGTGGGGGAGTTTGGATTTACAGATAACAGTCAAGATTTTATTATCTGAGAACCAGAATCAGTCAGTTTTATTCTTGGTTTTTCTCAGGATACAAAGCACTAGTTTTCCAACTATAGAACTGTGAAATGCTTACAGTATTGAAATCAGGGCAAAGTGTCAGATTTTGTTTCAAAATTCAAATTTGTATTTATTGACCCTTCTGTACTCCTCCCTTGCTGTGAATACACAGCGCTTTGCATGGTTAGTTTAAAGGGTGTTTACATGGTTAATTTAGTTGGTATGCTTCTTCAAATACCCTCTGTGGATTTTTTTTAACTTGCTGTAGCCCAAATACAAGCACTCCCACATTTTTCATCCTACCTAACACAGCTAGGCACCCCTTAATACATAGTCCGTAATCAACCACCAATGCTAATTTCTTGCTTAAGAAAGTCTTAAAGCCAGGCTTTACCCATAGTCTCTGCTTTATAAGAAATACAGGTAAAAAGAAAGCAATCTTGAAATAAGTTTCATAAAGGTGAACAGAACTAAACAGAGCAGTCACTTTTAAATATTTAAACAACATAGAAAAATCAAATTTATAGTACCCCCACCCCCCACCTCACTTGCCTGGCTGATGTGGCTCCATGGTTGAGCCTCAATCCATGCACCAAGAGATCACCAGTTCTATTCCTGGTCAGGGCACATGCCCAGGTTGTGGGCCAAATCCCCAGTGAGGGGCATGCAGGAGGTGACCAATCGATATTCTCTCTCATTGATGTTCCTATCTCTCTCTCCCTTCCTCTAAAATCAATAAAGAAAAAAAAATTTTAAAGGTCCCCCTCTTTTTTTTCTATTAATTCTAGAGAGTGGAGGGTGGGTAGGGGAGAGAGAGAGAGAGAAACAACACCATGAGAGAGACACAACCAGGTGCAACGGTCAGTGCTCCAACTAACCAGGCCACACTGAACATGGAAGATTGGAAGTTTATAAGAAAAAAATCATCTTTAAGTCCATATGTTAAATTTTTAATGTTTTCACTATAGGTAATGGTTTAAATATCCAAACTAGTTTGGTATCACAATTAAAGAATGCCAGAAGTAAAATTAGGTTTATAACCCCGTTTCATCACCATTTTAACAAGCACTTAAAAGTAGATCTTATTGCTTTCCTAGAACACACAGTAATATTAATTTTAAATCACAGTTTCTGAATATTTTTGTGGCTATAAGAAATAACTGCAATCTCAAAACATAATAGTTAAAATAATAAATTATTCTGGAAGAAATTGTTAGGATAATTAACCCTAATCATCTACCTGTTATCTATCCATGAAGTAACTAAATTTTAAGGCTGTTGTTGAAAACAATATTATTTCACAGTGATTCAAACTTTTCAACCTATCAACACTTTGAAACAAAAAATTATCAACTCATCATTTTAAAAAATATATCATTGTTTTCTTTTTTCAATCCTTCTAAAGTCCCTCTCACCCTGCTTGGATATGCTGCACTCTTCTGGGCATAGAATTTCATAGCAGTTATCAAAATAATGAAGGCATAAAGTTGCTTTCCTAGAATACTTAGTAATATTTATCAAACAATAATTTTCCATCAACAGAAACTTTGGATGTATGACTCATTTCACACAAATATACCAAAAAAAAAAAGAATACTTAAATAAAAAGTGTAATAAGGATTTTTTATTTACTTTTGTATTTCCTCATACAATCTAACACCTGAAAACAACTATACTGTATTGTTGGCACTTTCCTGAAAGGTGCCAGCTGTTTCCTTTGTTTTAAGACAACAAGCAGGAACAGTGAAAATCACGTTTCCAGAGAAGGTGAGGGGTAGGATAAGGGTGCTAAGAATTAGCTTTCAGAAATGGGAAGTCAGTCAACTTTTTCCTTTCTTTATTTGCAGAGCAACGGGGGAATTATGAACACACTTTGGAAAATAATACTGTCTTGAAAACAATCTCTTTGGACTAAGTTCTTACTTCCATGGAAGTAGTCAAACCCAAGCCTTAATTTCAACACAATTTCAACACAGTGTTCAAATTTATTACTTGAAGCTCTGGCAACATAAAACTGTCTTCTTTAAATGGAAAATGTGACAACTTCTATGAGGTAAATGGATTTGAAAGTGGGAGTGGGTGGGGGAGGCACACACTTTTTTTTTTTTTTTAAGGGGGAGAGGATGCAAAGGAAGAATCCTCAGTAACCACAAAACCCTGAGTCCCTAATGATGTTACACCAGGCTGCTCAGAAGCTCTTGGACCACAGCTCTTCACCTGGGGACTTTTGGATTAACTGCTACGGGACATCGGTGGAATTCCTGCCTTGGGTAAAAAGAGGGTAATTGTTGAAAAGACGTTCTTCCAAATGAACCAGTGTCCGGGGATTCTCTTGGAGACCCTGCCCTTCCTGGCAGCGCCACTTGGCCCGGCACGGGTCCGAGCTGCAACAGGGAGGTCCCGCGTTAGCCTTGGAACCTCCTGGACAACTCGAGAACCACCACCACCCGGAACCTGGCTCCGAAGCCAGCGCGGGATAAATTCCCCGACCTCGAGACCCGCCCGCCGCCTCGCGCCCTGGGCCTCCGCCGCGGGTCTGACCTCCCTTCCTACCACCGCTCCAGCCCGCCTCGCGCCTCCCGGACCGTCGACCTCCCCACCCCAGGCCGGGCCCCCGCGGGCCTGCGATTCCCGTAAACTCTCCGCCCAGCCCGGCCCCCTGCCCGCCTCGGCCCCGCCCCCGAGGGATCCTGAGCGGCACGTGATTGGCCCGGCCGCGCCATCACTCTCGGGTCGCGTCACCGCCCCCGTTTCCAACCGCCCGGAGACCGGCAGTGGTGTTAGTGCTCGCGGGGCCGCAGCGGAGGGCATCGTGCTACCCTGCTCGCTACCATTCGCCCGCGGATCGGCGCGCTCGCTAGCGGAGCAGCAAGCAGGGCTGCAGTCTGCCAGGCTGCAAGCTCAGCCGCCACCTGGGAAGCAGAGGCAATTAGTCCCAGACCGAGATGGGGAGAGGGCGAAGTTGACGAGCCCCCCACCCACGCTGCTTTCCTCTTACTCCCAGGTGCGCTACCCTCTCCAAGAGGTGCCGGCACACGGCCCTGCCCAGGTGTGCGCGGGACACCTCACCCCCCACCCTGGAACCCGAAAACTTCACCCCAAGTCCAACGAGTGGACTTCGAGGGCGGTGTTCGGAGCCCGACACGCAATTCCGTGCTAGGGAAGCTGTCCGGGAGGCTCGCACGGCTGTCGGAGGGCGGAGAGCTGCTGGAAACTTTACCACCGTAAGAGTAATTACTACGTTTTACTGTTTCTCTCCCCGCAGGGGCTGCAGCCAGCTGTCTGTCGCGCTTGCTTGTTTGCCAAAGGAGCCACTCCAGGGAGAAGATCCAGAGGGGAGTTGTTTGCCCAGGGGATACCTGCAGCCCAGCCGAGGGGTTTGGGCGGCCTGGATGCGCACGACCCAGCCCCGCAGCCGCTGACGCCGGGCGGCGGCGAAGTTTGGCTGCTGAGCGGCGGGGCGCAGGGCCACTGGACAGCGGGCAGTCCGGCGGCCGCGACGTCGGGAGCGATGCCGGTTGGGGGCCTGTTGCCTCTCTTCAGCAGCCCCGCGGGCAGCGGCCTGGGCGGCGGCCTGGGCGGGGGTCTCGGCGGTGGCGGTAGGAAGGGATCGGGCCCCTCCGCCTTCCGCCTGACGGAGAAGTTCGTGCTGCTCCTGGTGTTCAGCGCCTTCATCACACTCTGCTTCGGGGCGATCTTCTTCCTGCCCGACTCCTCCAAGCTCCTCAGCGGGGTCCTGTTCCACTCCAGCCCCGCCCTGCAGTCGGCCACCGAGCACAAGCCCGGGCCCGGGGGGCGCGCTGAGGACGCGGCAGAAGCACGAGCCCGGCGTGGCGAGGAAGGCGCGCCCGGGGACCCCGCCGTCCCCCTGGAGGACAACTTGGCCAGGATCCGCGAAAACCACGAGCGGGCTCTCAGGGAAGCCAAGGATACCCTGCAGAAGCTGCCCGAGGAGATCCAAAGAGACATCCTGCTAGAGAAGGAGAAGGTGGCCCAGAATCAGCTGCGTGACAAGGCGGCATTCAGGGGGCTGCCCCCGGTGGATTTCGTGCCCCCCATCGGGGCGGTTGGCCGGGTGCCCGCCGATGCCGCCATCTGCAAGAAGAGGGAAAAGATCAAAGAGGTGAGTGTGCGGTGCTAGAAATCCCTCTCGACCCGCCCGCCGTGTTTTTCTGGGAGAAATGACAAACCTTTGCAACTCTTAATACTGTAACATTATAGTGTTAAGTGAGCATGAGGTTTACCACTTCCACCAGGTGTAGTGCCAAGGGCGCTTTTCTTTTTCCTTTTATCAGTAGCATAGTAGATATGGCCAGTTACCATCTGAGGTTGAATCCCGTTGCTTCTAACTTGCATGCTCCGGTGAGCATAAACCACAAGAGGTAGGCATTAAATACATGGTCTAGTGGTGTGCAAAGCTCTCTTTTCATTGGCTGATACTGTTAATTGTCTCTGAGAACAGTGACAGTGAAGGTCCTAAACTGCCCCCAATACGACTTGGACGTGGCTTTGAAATGAAGCGAATGTAAACACTAGGCATCAATCACACATGATAAAAAGGTTCTGACAGCAAGCCAGCACACCCCAGCGTTCAGTCATGTGGCCCCATTTTGCCAGGTGGCATCCTGTGTGTACTTACAGACTATAAAGGTGAAACTTGAGAACTTGCTATCATGGGGGGCACACTGTTGTTTATTTTTTTAAAAAAAGAAAAAATCGAAAAAGCCAAACCTACTGCCTCTTGCATTTCTAGTGTAGTCAGAAGAAAAAAAGTATTTCATGTGATGCAACAGGTTTGCCTCTACAGCAGCACAATGATCATAGACTTAATCTAGGACAAACATGGATTTTGAAGTCTTTCATAATTTCTTTCTCCTTATTTTCATTTAGAATTTGTAACATGTGGTTAGTTCATGACTGACTTAAAGCTGAAGAGGACCTTAAAACAACTTTAGGCTGTCATTTTAAGATGAAAATTGAAGGGCCCAGAGCCCCAGAACCTGTTATTGACGAGTCAGGACTTAAAACCTGGACTTCCTTCCTGTCACCTGTCACCAGGCATGTGAATATGCTTCTTTTCACAGCTATTCTCCTGTGTGAAATTATACCAGCCAGGATTTTTGCACAGTCCGAGATGTAGGAACCATATTAAAAACATTTTATCTCGAATCCTGATTCAGATTGCTGAAATACATTATGAATTGAAGTAATATTTTTGCCATTTTCAAAAATTTTACAGAGTCTCTGACAATAAATTTTGTGTTTTGACATTGGGTAGGTAATCAAGAGAGGAAGCTTCCTGATCCCCCCATTTTCAGACACTAAACATAATTTTGAAGTGGCTTGAGTGGCTACAGAATGGAAGCAGCTCAATTATCATAGGATTTGTGACTTTACTGTAAGACTAGATGGATTTGGTTAAGCTGTAATTGAGCAAGTTAAAGTGGATTTGGGTCCCTTGCAGTTGACCCTAGGTAGAGTGCCTTCATCCCTCCTATGCAGATAGCTTCCTTACACAGCCCATCAGCCTTTCTGATTTAACACCCTTCCTCAGGCATAGAAGCCTCCTAAACTTGGGGAATGGCTTTTACTCCACTGACAACTTTTGTCTAGCAGTTTCCCTTCTCCATGAAATTCTAACAAGGCTACTAAACCAAAACCAGGAAAGTGGAAAAACCTCTGCTTACCAGCCATCTCCCTCTCCTCTTCATCCCCAGCCTCCTTAAAAATATCCCACCAGAACCCTTAGGTAAATTAACCCTAAATCTGTATCTGCTTATATTTCCCTTAAGTTTGAAGCAGTGTAAGTCACACGTCTCATGCCGCTAAATTCCTATGAGCTGCCAGTTAATGCAGCTCGTCATTGTCCAAGGAAATTATTTTAAATACTAAAGATACATGGATGTTAAAAAGCTATTGGTACTGACTAATAGTGATTTAAAGTGCATTTAGAGCAGAAGCAGTGGGGCAGTAGCAGTCAATTCAGGACAGCATATTAATAGCATGCATCTCTTTTCCTATTAAGTCCATGCTATCTGTGTCTCTAAATCAAAAGGTCTTAATTAACCATGGAAAGGAAATTTATGTCGCCTTCTGTGTCCATGTGGTGCTAATATTTTAGCACCTAGATGTTTCAAAATTGCCCAGTCTTGCATAAAGTGGTGGGACTAAATTTGTTCTTTAAATTCCATGTTGTGAGAACCCCCAAAAGCCAGCATAATTAGCTTCAATATTTAGTCAAAGTCTAAAGGGAAGAAATGGATTATGGTTCTTCATCAGATTAGTCAGGCAGATGTGCTCCTTTGTAAACCAAAAAAAAGTAACTCATGTTAGTGTAAAACTGGGCTGTAAATGTTCAGTTTCAGAGGAAAGAGTGATTGCCTATTGTGAATAGGGCACGTTTAGATTCCATTTCAGGCACCACCATGGGCTCCTTGTCATGGACCAATAATGGATTTTTGCCTTGGTTTTTGTCTTTATTGTTCCTATATTTTATAGTTCTTATATACTTAGGTTCTCTACCACACCTACATGCACTAATAGTTTTGTAGTAAAATTAAAAGATATAGGCAAGACTAATATTTTTGGGAGCTTAGACTATAATTTCTGAGCCAAACTTATTTTGTAAATTTGGTTTAAAGACAGCCAATGCTATTTTATATTGCCAGTGCGGTTGTGTTACTGGTACTATAGTAAATTTTTAACAAATTAGTGCCCAGAGGAGACAGTCTATAATTTCATATAGGATATTGCCTAATACACTTCACAAAAGGACATTATCTACTTTCCAGTATTTATTTCATGGATGTTAAATCTTTATGTAAAGCTTGAAATTAAGACCCCTTCCCACCATGGTAACTTTGTAAATAAATTAACCCTGGAATTTCCATGAAATTTATGATATATATATAGTACATATTTTCACAAGTTTGATCTTTTTAAAATTGTTCTCAAGTTGTCCTTAGCTTTAAAAGCAGTATTAAAATAATGAAACACAGAAGTTAAAATAGCACCATGGAATTTTTAGAAAAAGAGTCAATTTCCCCTTCTACCTCAACTTTTTTTTTTTTTTTTTAATTAGGAAACTTGTGTCTTGTTTGTTTGTTTTGGAGTCCCCACCAACTTAAATGGGGTGGGGTTTGGGGGGCTAATTAGTCAGTTTGGGGTCTATTGGGTAAGGCTTTAGGACCTGTCAGCTGCAGGGTCACTGTTGACTTCTCTGGGTTTCTCAAAACCGGCTTTAGTATTTTGTTACAGACCTGTTTATATTATCATAAATTTAAAGAACATTTTCATATTGATGGCTGATAGTTAAAATGTATTTTTATACCTTACACCAGCCTTAGGCTGTTCTTGAGTCTATAATTTATCTTAACTATTGACAATTAACTCTTTTATTAAAGATCCAACATAGGAATAATTTACCTGGGCAGATTAAAACAAAACACTTTTATTTTGAAACTTAACTTTCCAATTTATTTGTATGGGTAGTTGTGGTGTGGAAAATAATCTTTGCAAAATGATGAAGGCCACAATTTGAAGACCTGACTCTGAAGGAACTTACTAAATACCCTTGGGTTATTCCCTTGCCTGATTTGCTTACCCTGCTCTTGAAACACAAACACTGAATATGAGCAGATTCAAGATCCCCTCTCTTAGGACCTTCCCCCAAACAGGTACATCATGGAGTGTTTATAAACGGTTTTCTCTTTAACAAGTATAGATGAATAAATTCAGATTTCAACAGTGTAAGTACTGGAGTAGATGCTGACTATTGAACATTAATATAGGAGAGCAGGAAAAGATTGTTCATAGATAATCAATTATGTTCAGCTTAATTTTCTATAAGTTATTAATAATTTGAGAGGCGTATTTTGTCTTCTTGTCAGGTAACTTAAAATTCATATAAAGAAGCTGTATTTAGGACTTAGAACCTAGTTAAGGGTGTGAAAAGAGGTAAAACATACATTTTGAGTTAATGCATCTGCATTTCTTACATGAGCTAATAAACTAAACCATCTTGAGAAATGTATCCTAGTATTTCACATGTATAAAAAGTGCTTTTGTATGAGATCTGAATTTGTGGGAATTCAATGGAGAATTTATATATTTGTATTAAATTATTTTATAATTTATAGTAGTACTAATTATTTATTTAAGCGAGTTTAAAACATGTGTCTCAAGGTCAGGAGAGAGGAATACCTACAGGTCTATGTGAGTGATGAGTCCTAAGTTTACATGCATACCTTGGAGGTGGCACTGGTTAGGTTCCAGGCCAGTGCAATAAAGTGAGTTGGAATCTATTTGCTCTTGGAGGGTCTGGCCTTCATTTTGTTAAAAAAAAAATTGCAATATCTGTGAGTCTAATAAAGCCAAATGAAATAAAATGAGGTATGCCTGTACGTGGGCAGATCAAAACTGCCCTGGAGCCTGCTTATACCCCATAGACCAGTAGAGAACCTGTGGCCTTTTAAGTTCTTTATAACCTATAAAACCATAAAAATGTATGTGTTTGTCAAAGATGAGTTTTGATTGGTCAAAACAGAAATTGCCATCCTGTGAGCTCCAGAGATACTATAAAATGCCATAAGCAGACAAAAATGATAAAGGACTAACCAGTGTTTGATAACTTAAGGAAAAACCTCTTTCTTTGGGGAAACGTAAGTCTTGACTTTTCCCTTAGTGTTCTTAGCCTAGTGCCTTGTTTAGTAATAAGTGATGGAACTACCTTTAACCTGTCCCACCGCCCAACCCCTCATTCCTAAATCTGTTTAAAGGTCCTTTACACCAACTCCGCAAATTAATTTTTCTGTTACCAACAATGTGCCATAAAAATTATATTTCTTATTTTTAAAAGTTAAAACATATGCTCTAAGTCATAAAGTATTGTCTCTGGATGAGACTGGAGGGATAGGGTCGGCTTGTTTATTTTACAGTAGAGGCCACTGAGGACAAAGATTGTTCTGGTAGTCACGTTGCCGGTTAGCATAGAGTAAGTTGAGAATGGAAACCCCATCCTTAGTGAGTGTTGCTCATTATCCTATCACAGCTCGCCTCCTAAATAAAACACCAAAAAAGTGTGTAAATTGATTGTCCATATTCATTATTTGCAGACCCTAAAGT